ATTCAGGATATACCTGGTTTCTATGAAGTTAAATATAAGATAAAATTAGCTTGTTGATTGATTGATTGATTGCTAAACGTCCAATGACAAATAGTTCATGCATGTTCAGTCAGGGATATAACTCTATAGGGTTATTACAGAAAAATAACATACATTTGTTATTGTGGATTAAAAAATCAAAGAACTGTGATAACTTATGTATGTTATATGTTTCAAAGGAGCAATATACATCATTAGTTTAGTTAAAATGTTTAAAAGTTCTATTGATATTACTTTTGTCTATATGTATACTTAACTATTGAAAGATATAACAGTTCATAGTTTGCCAATTTTGCATAGTACACCTATATGTTATTACAGTAAAAATATGCCTGTAATAACTAAAGGGTGTTATCACAGCTTCTCTATATCACTTCAAAGCATTTGCTCAGACATACATCATGCTTAATTACAATGTATTTTAATTTATTGTAAGAAATAATGACCAGAGCATGTAATGAGGTTCTGCGCAAGTTTCTCAGTAATTCCCAAGTGTCTTATATAATAAGTTAAATTCCTTTAATAACTGAGCCTTGTTATCACAGCTAAGTTTATCCCTTAATAGCCTTGTCTCATTGATTTACCATGGTTAATCAAAAATGTATTAATTTAATTAAAAAATTAGTTATCAAGGTTATGCATTTAGTTTCTGCGCAAAGTCTCAAGAGATCCCTAGAGGCCACTATAAATGAAATAATTTTACAAATAACAAACATATGTTATTACAGATTTAGAAAATTTAAGGAATAAAGAGTAGACAACTCATGAAAGTATCTGTAATAACACACGCAAGTTATTTTCTGTAATAACCCTATAGAGTTATATCTCTGACTGATGTTCAGGACAAAAACAAATTTACAATAAATACAACAGGTATCTAGGTCCTGAAATATGGGTCGTCCATGATGAAGGTCTGGAAATTTGGAAATGCCATGCATTGGAAAATGAAGGTTTATTTGATAGGAACAGAAATTTTGCCATTCTTCAGACCACCTTACGAACCCCTCAAAGAATTGTTGCAAGTGTTCTTAATGTGCATATAGAGCGTGGAATTCTCTCCACACTAGGCATTGGATTTAATGTCCCAATTCTGACCAGACGTGACTGCGTATTTATACATCCCGCATAGCCAAACAGACGCCCAGCTTTGGCAACGGTTTATTGTAGGTTGGATGAAGACCAAGTGGAAAGCTAGTTTAAAGCCAACAACAACCAATTAAAAAAAATCATGTATCTTAGAATAAAATGTCCCTGAGGGTTTTGAGCATGTTGAGGTTCATTCAAGTATTTGTTTATAGAAGTGAAATGATCAGGACCACAGTTCTAGTTTTTAGTTTCTATCTATAATGACACACAATTCTATCCAATACTCCATTCACTAAGGATGATAGACTAGTGTACAAATGACATTTGATAATTATAAAGAGTTTTGACGACTTCACGTGCATCTACAGATAACGTTGTTTATTATTTTTTTTAATAGAAAAAAATATTTGTGAAAAAAGTATGTGTAGGCACGTGCCTAAAGTGCCTAACGGCAGCTACGCCCCTGTAATAATAAATAAAAAAATAAATTAGAAAGCTGTGAAATTTGCAAAATTTGGTTGAATAGATAGGGATTTGGAATTGGTGGTATAACACCTGTAAGTAAATCCGGCATACGATAGCATCTGATTAAAACTTCCTTGAAATAATATCGATAACAAACTATTGCCGCGATGGAAAATTATATAAAAGTATCTTATTACAGCAGAATGCATTGAGTGTGTAGGTAAAGGTAGAATCTTTGGTTAGCTTGCTTGTTAGTTGAACCGTGAAGTCATTATTAGATTAGGTATACTACCCTCCTTTCGGAGTAGTCTAGTCCTACAGACAGACAGATAGATTGGTTATCTGTCGGACTAGTCTACTCTTAAAGGAGGGTAGTTTACCTAACCTAATAATAACTTCACGGTTCAGCTAACAAGCAAGCTAACCAAAGATATAACCTTTATCTACATACTCAATGCATTCTGCTGTAATGTCTTATTAGTTTATTGTTTAGTTTGTTTATTATGTTATGAATAGTTACATTGTAATTAGTCTGCCCTTCAAAGGGCACATTTATTGGTTATCTGCCCTTCAAAGGGCACATTTATTGGTTATCTGCCCTTCAAAGGGCACATTTATTGGTTAATACAACTTACTGTATCTGTATCTGTATATATATATATATATCTGTATCTGTGTTAGAGAAGAAAGCCGCGTTCTTGTCCCATTGTAGATCTAAGATAGGTTTTGACACGTTTCAGGACGCAAAAAGATCTTTCAGCTGTCACAGTTGTTGGTGGCATCGTAAGAAGTATTTAAAGAATACAGTATACATTAGGATACAGTTCTTTGTCGTCGTTTCCAATGTTTCATATAGTTGATCTTGTTTCTTTGAGGGATAAATATTCCAACAAGCAACCCATTTTTGGATCTCGAGAAGAACTGCTCTTCCGGTTGGAGATCAGGATCATATAGGCGCAATTTATACGCAACTTCGCGTTTTAAATCTTTAACATTATGTGGAATTATAGTAGCAGGGTGAGAAACCTTTCCTCTGAATTAACCAATCGATCTCTACGTTCATTCAGAAGATGGTCTTAATTAGAACTGGTCTAAAAGATGGTAAACTACGAAAAAAAAGTCGGAGTATTCTTATTACATGTATTAGTATCAATGAATACATTATGATTTATCGATACTCTCCCCCTCTCTCATGCGCTCTTTCTCCATTATTCTTAAAAAAAGCTTTTTTGTTTGTGCAAGCGAGTGCGTCATTGCGTCAATAGTAGCTACGCCAATACGTTCGTAAAATCTTATAAACTCAATTCTATGTTATATATATATGGCGACACACCTGTTCTATAATTTTTGTGAAATTATTACATGTCGAATTGCTGACTATTATATTTTTGTCTTCGAATTTTCAAATCTTACAGTAATACGGAATTTCTAAAATAGCGGATAGACTTCGAATTGACTTCACAAATAACATCACCGTTTTAACGTCGTACTATGATCATGTTATTTTAAAGACAATTTATAGAAATCTATTCAGCAGTGCATGCATGGGTTTTATTTCTTCGTATTGCTTTTGATGGTTGGTTCTTGTGGTCACTTCTTACGAGGTCAGTACAGATTGGTTCCCGCAAAATTTTGCATCAAACCCCAAGGGCCTGAATCGTTCACCTGGAAGAAATATACGTCATTTTGATATTTTTTTCTTTATTGCAATCAGAAAACAGACTACGCCGGAATGATTAGAAAATCTCGCAGACCATATATGAATCAGGCGATTTTTAACGCGTTTAAAAATGACATTGAACATGTATAATTGAATGAGAGATGATCATTGTGCCAGTGTATTCACAAATGTTTTATAAATTCTGTTGTAAGAGCTCCTTGGAGCTCATTTTATCAACTAATATGTTTATTTTGTGCCGATTATATAAACAAAATTTAATTACCTTTACACACTAACTATCAGTGTATGAGGGTGTGGATTGGGTTTTACAGAATAGAGAATATTGGACAAAAATTTAAAGAATAGAGAAAAGTGGACCAAAAAATAAAGAATAGAGAATAATGAGGTGCTAAAATATAAAGAATAGGGAATAATGGGCAAAAATAAATATAAAGAATAGAGAAAAATGGCCTAAAAATTAAAGAATATAGAAATGAAGGACCCCCCCCCCCCCCCGCCCCCATCCAGACCCTCATGTGTTGTTCGTTTATAAATTAATTCTTGATGGTAATATTGACGTGTTTCCGATATTCTGATATCATTGACAGCTGTTCTATCTATGTCAATCTCGACCTATTTTACATGGGAATGGCACATTTACAATCATGAAAAATATATGTACTCTTTTTTATGAAAGAGATCTGATTGAGTTTTGCTTCATGTGCATGGTAATTGCAATTGTGTCCTTTATTTTCATTACGAGACAACAACAAAAAAACACTCTGTGTAAATTTATGTAAGCTCGCTGCTGTACATGTTAAAATCACACCTGCTGGTGTAGAGGGAATGACAGTAAAATATGGTGATTGCTGATAATTTAGAGTGATAACACTCTGAATTACGTACGACCCTCATACTTACTGTGTGTGTACTATAAAAGGTGGGTGATTGGAATTATTCATTTTATTACTACTCAATAGTGAATATATGAAATGATGGATACTTTTTCTTATATTTCGTGTGGTTAAGGATATATACTTATATCTATGCTTATACAAATATTAACTATTTTGCAAAGGCATACACCGTCTAGCCGAACTACCAACAGAAAATATTCAACGACCACAAAGAACAACAAAGAACATAGCATAGTCAACACTTTCTCAGATTCTAGCCAAGACGGACGCTTTGAAATTCAACTTCCTACTAGACACAGTTTTAAAATTGGAAACTTATAATTTATATATATTTCTGTAATTACAGATACTTGGATTTCGTGTGGTTTCTTTGCATGTTTGGCCTTATAAAATTATACTAATTAGGCACTGGCTACGATTACGTTGAAAACGTAACAATAACGAAAAATAACAAAAACGACTAATTGCCGGAATGCAAGTTCTGGTTAGGAACCGATTAATTTCGGGCGTAACACCAAGGATTTATATCTTGCTATACAAATCCTTGGTAACACTAATATTTTTGTCTACGGTTATATTGCGTTATTGTTACGTTAAAATTTTAAAAACGTTAACAGGCTTTGGGTTTTATTGCTGAATTTCCGATGGTCTGTAGGTTACTATAATAATTATTACATTTCAACGTAAATCCTAGCCAGTACCTACTTATTAATGCTGGTTTAAATCTACGCCCAAAGGAGACCTAGTCTAAAAAGTATGGTGTTCCAAAATATCAAGGAAGATCTTTAACCATGTTTACAGAAAAAAACAGAGGTTTGTTGGTTACACTTCCCTAGTCTAAACAGTCCCTAAGTTATCACACCAGCATGGTTATGAAGCGATGCCTCTTGTTTTGTAAAAACAATGCAGTTGGATTAAGCGGTTTTGTAATAGCTAGTGGAATTGTGTTGTATGAAAAATTTAAGATAGATGGAAATGTCTTGGCTTCATGGACAACAAATTTCGAACCCTCAGTGAAATGGGATTATAATTGGGACAGGTGAATACTTTCAGTTTGTCAACGTTTGTACAAGCCATGTAACTTATATGTTAGTTCAAATAATTATGACGTCAAGAAAGGCTATTTTTGATTTTTGCTGTTACGCCTTCCTTAAAAAACATATCAAAAAGCCATACAAAACGTCATAATTATTTGGACTATTTACATTTGTACTTCTATATGTGATATTGCTCTGTTTTATTGTATTCTTGACATTCTTTATAGATCTTTATACATTTGTCCCATCAAATACAAATATCTTTATTTATCATATACTTGTATAAAATATTACTTAAATTTTACAGTTCAATAACATTTAAAAGTATTAAAAGGCTATGAAAGGATTACTATGTTTATTAACCAGATTCCTAAGAGTTTCCTCTGCGGGCTTATAAACGAACCTTTATTGACTGCTTCCGGAATGTTATCACATGCCTTTCCGTTAATGTCCGTGACGTTTATGGCATGCAACTTCGTAAATTTCTGGAAATTTGTTTGTAAACAAATTGACAGACGACACGGCTGCGTTTGTCGAGTCTTTGAAAAATAACAACACAGTGCAGAAAACCGCAAGTGATTTAATACTTTTCACAAAATGGTTGAGAACCAACAATGAATTATGATTACACATGTTTTGAGAGACATCAAATTTTGAGCCCCAACAACTTCAGGCATATCTATGCACATGTTTTCGGGGGCAACCATCACAGGAAAGGTGACAATAAACTTTTCAAACTAAGAACATGATAATTGTTGTGATATGTCACAAGATAAATAAAATGCTTGTATTATCAATAAAAACAATTAAAGTTAAGAAATTTGTATTTGGCTGTCTGGAAATTATTATCTAAAAGTTCAAAGAAAGACAAAAATCTTAATAGTTCTTGTCTGTATTTCTTCTGCTGAATTATATGATAAAAAGATCATAACATGTCATTTTTCATATCAGACCCTTTATCGGCCCTCGTTCATGATATCAGCCCTCGAGCCTACGGCTCTTGGGCTGATATCATGACCTAGGGCTGATACGGCTCGAGGGCTGATACCATGAACGAGGGCCAATAAAGGGTCTGATATGAAAAATGCCATGTAATAATCTATACTTCCTACCAAACATGATAAAATTCATAGGGCCTGTAGAGGGCATCTGTATATCATTTAACAATTATTTTGTACATTTGTAAGTGTGATGGGATTGCTTCCCTTAGTATATGTAGTAGACACTTAGCCAGCCATACGTGGTTGAGCTAAGGAAGTACTTCTTTAACTCAGTCGGTTAAAGCGCTGCCTTGTAACACAGATGTCCTGGAGGAGACAAAGTGATTTTGTAATATGAATCATGCTCTCTCAGTCTGGTTACATTTGGCGCCCAACTAAAAAAACCACGGTGGTTAGAGAGGATTTCTAGCCAGGGTATTTGGTGTTTGAGTCATAATGGTATCATGACTTTTGAAGTGGGGAAGTGTGATGGGATTGCTTCCCTTAGTATATGTAGAAGATAGTAGATGCTTGGCCAGCCGTAAGCAGGTAAGTGGTTGAGCTAAGGAAGTTACTTCTTTAGCTCAGTTGGTTTTAAAAAGCGCTGCCTAGTAACACAGAGGTCTCGGGTTCGAGTGTGATTTTGTAATGAAAATCATGCTCTCTGGTTACATAAGTCTAATTTTACTGAATGGTTTTCAGTAATATTGTACATGATGTAACTGGAGTGAATGTAAAGAAACAAAGTTATCCTTATACGTGTCTCTTTGTCGAACTCCCATAGGAAATAAAATCTTCCGTGGTTTCTACTACTCATTTAAAGTAGCACAATACAAAGATTTTTTCAGCCCCAATCAGACAACTTTCAACTGATGTAATTTCTTTCCTCCAGCTCTAAAATTCATAAATGAGGAACCAAAAGAAAGAAGAAAGATTAATCTTTCAAATGGTGAAAATTTTATTATTACATAATTATCTAGGAGCTAATTTCATTTAAAACTACATTTCCATGACAATAATGTATGTGTCACAATTGAATAAATAAGGATCTTCCTATTTGAACCTCAATATCATTCACACATGTACCATGGGGATACTTCAGGATTGGCCTTTAATCATAAAACAATTAGGTTTTGTCCAGTGAGAAAGCATTCAATTTCAGCAATTCTAAATATATAAAGAAAATGCACACCCTATGCATCAAAAACCAGATCTGGCGGGAGAAGTTATATCATTATTGACAAGCTGCTGTAAGTCAGTTGCTACTGATATGGTCAAAACTCCGCCCACCTTGATAAACATCACCCATTAATGATCTCAGAAGTTTAATTACACATTGCATTTACTTTTTATAAGACCGCAAAAATTAAAAATTTTTTGGTCGTATATTGGTATGACGTTGGCGTCGTCGTCGTCGTCGTCCGGCGTCGTCCGAAGACACATTGGTTTTCGCACTCTAACTTTAGTTTAAGTGAATGGATCTCCATGAAATTTCACCATAAGGTTCAATACCACAAAAGGAAGGTTGGGATTGATTTTGGGGGTTATGGTACCAACAGTTAAGGAATTAGGGGCCAAAAAGGGGCCAAAAATAAGCATTTTTGTAACTTTCAGACAATAACTTGTGTGTAAGTGTATGGATCTCTCTGACATTGTACCACAAGGTTCCATATCACAAAGGGAAGGCTGTAATTGATTTTGGGGGTAATTGCCTCAAAATTTTAGGAATTAGGGGCCAAAAAAGGGGCAAAAAACAAGCATTTTTCTAGTTTCATGACAATAACTTGTGTGTAAGTGTTTGGATATTTCTGAAATTGTACTACAAGGTTCCATATCACAAAAGGAAAGCTGGAATTGAGTTTGGGGGTAATTGCCCGAAACGTTTAGGAATTGGGGGCCAAAAAGGGGCCAAAAATAAGCATTTTTCTAGTTTCCAGACAATAACTTGTGTTCATGTGTATGGATCTCTCTGAAATTGTACTGCAAGGTACCATACCACAAAGGGAAGGCTTGGATTGAGTTTGGGGGTGATGAATCATAAGGGGGTTCAAAAAATTTGGGGGGGGGATTTTTTTTTTTTTTTTTTCTTTTTTTCCTTTTTTTTTTCTTTTAAAATTTTCCATTTTAAGTTGGTTATTTCTGATTTATATTTAAAAGCAAATAATAATGATATGGTAGGAGATACACACCAAACAGGATGTGTAAATTATTATATAATAAGTATTGTGCAATAGCAAGAAATTTTCAATTGCACAGTATTGCACAATAGCAAGAAATCTTCAATTGCACAGTATTGCGCAATAGCAAGAAATCTTCAATTTAACAGTATTGCGCAATAGCAAGAAATATCCAATAGCACAATATTGCGCAATAGCAAGAAATTGTCAATTGTACAGTATTGCGCAATAGCAAGAAATATTCAATTGCACAGTATTGTGCAAAAGAAGATACTTCGTATAAATTGCTTATTTCTTGATCAATTTCAATGGGGTTTTATTCTTGAATTCTTGGGGTTCTTTAATATGCTGAATCTAACCGTGTATTAAGTTTTTGGATTTTGGGCCCCGTTATTAAATTGGTCCACATTGAGGTCCAAAGGGTCCAAAATTAAACTTTGTTTGATTTCATCAAAAATTGAATTATTGGGGTTCTTTGATATGCCGAATCTAACCGTGTATTTAGATTTTTAATTTTGGGTCCTGTTTTTTAAATTTGTCTACATTAAGGTCCAAAGGGTCCAAAATTAAACTTAGTTTGATTTTAACAAAAATTGAATTCTTAGGGTTCTTTGATATGCTGAATCTAAACATGTGTTTAGATTTTTGATTATGGGCCCAGTTTTCAAGTTGGTCCAAGTTGGGGTCCAAAATTAAACTTTGTTTGATTTCAACAAAAATTGAATATATGGGGTTCTTTGATATGCTGAATCTAAACATGTATTTAGATTTTAGATTTTTGGCCCAGTTTTCAAGTTGGTCCAAATTGGGGTCCAAAATTAAACTTTGTTTGATTTCAACAAAAATTGAATATATGGGGTTCTTTGATATGCTGAATCTTACCATGTATTTAGATTTTTTATTTGTGGGCCCGCTATCAAATTGGTTCATATTGAGGTCAAAAGGGTCCAAAATTAAACTTTGTTTGATTTCATCAAAAATTGAATTATTGGGGTTCTTTGATATGCCAAATCTAACTGTGTATTTGGATTTTTAATTTTGGGTCCTGTTTTTTAAATTGGTCTACATTAAGGTCCAAAGGGTCCAAAATTAAACTTAGTTTGATTTTAACAAAAATTGAATTTTTGGGGTTCTTTGATATGCTGAATCTAAACATGTGTTTAGATTTTTGATTATGGGACCAGTTTTCAAGTTGGTCCAAGTTGGGGTCCAAAATTAAACTTTGTTTGATTTCAACCAAAATTGAATATATGAGGTTCTTTGATATGCTGAATCTAAACATGTATTTAGATTTTAGATTTTTGGCCCAGTTTTCAAGATGGTCCAAATTGGGGTCCAAAATTAAACTTTGTTTGATTTCAACAAAAATTGAATATATGGGTTCTTTGATATGCTAAATCTTACCATGTATTTAGATTTTTTATTTGTGGGCCCGCTATCAAATTGGTTCATATTGAGGTCAAAAGGGTCCAAAATTAAACTTTGTTTGATTTCATCAAAAATTGAATTATTGGGGTTCTTTGATATGCCAAATCTAACTGTGTTTTTAGATTTTTAATTTAGGGTCCCGTTTTTTAAATTTGTCTACATTAAGGTCCAAAGGGTCCAAAATTAAACTTAGTTTGATTTTAACAAAAATTGAATTCTTTGGGTACTTTGATATGCTGAATCTAAACATGTGTTTAGATTTTTGATTATGGGACCAGTTTTCAAGTTTGTCCAAGTTGGGGTCCAAAATTAAACTTTGTTTGATTTCAACAAAAATTGAATATATGGGGTTCTTTGATATGCTGAATCTAACCATGTATTTTGATTTTGGACATTGGACCATAATAGGTAAATTAA